CTATTTGGGCAAGCATAGCCAGATCTTGGGTCTTGGCGCGCCGGTCGACGGCGGCCGCCGCGCCTTCCAAGAGCAAACGCTCATGCTACAGGGGCAAGTGGTTGGGGGTAACAGTGTCACAGAAGTGGGGGCACTTCATACACTTCCCCGCATTCCCACCCTTTCCTAAAAATGCCGCCGCATCGCCTCGAACTGCTTGCGCCGGTTCTCCTCCTCCTTCATGACTTGCAAAAGCTGCCTTGGCTTCTGGAGCCCAGACAGCCTTTTCCAAGCAAGGAGCGTGGGCACAAGACAATTTGTACAAATTGGATGGTGCCAGGTTGGCTGGTGGGCTGAACACGATTACAGCCGCAAGACAACCTGACCGACACATCCCCACCCCCCAACCCCCACCGCACCTCAGAATGGAAGCAGAAGCACATCCATTTCAGGACACGAAACAGAAGGAAAGGGCCCCTGACCTCGCGAAACCTCACAAACCAACCAACCGACCAAACCACCAACCTAAACCAGCCCGACCCGACCCAGCCCAACCCCCACCCCCACAGCCCGCTGGGTCCAGGCTTAGAGGGTCACAAGCAAGCAAACAAACAAACAAACAAACAAACAAACAAACAAACAAACAAGCAAGCAAGCAAACAAACAAACACACAAACAAACAAATAAGCAAACCAACACAACACAACACAACAAAACACAAACAAGCATCAGCAAAACAAAACAAACAAACCAACCCAACCCAAAACAACCCCGACTCCTTTCCCACCTTATCACCCCCTCGCATGGAGGTTGAATTGGGGAGTCGGACTGGTTCCAACCTGCAATGGCCCTAGAAGGAGATTCCTCAAACAACTTGATCAATTCTGTTTTGCCAACTTACAAGCCGGATTACTAAGTCTTCTACCAAGGACTATCATTCCCGAGATTCCATTTTAATCTGCAGAGTGCTGTTAACTTCACATCAATCTGGAGGGCCATACTAGTCAGCCCTGAATTTCATCATTTCCTGACTAGAAGGGGACCCCACCCCGCCCCCCAATTCGCTCCCCCTGATATTGATGCTTCTTCACAGGTGAACCTTGAGGGCACGCTCCCTAAACCCAGGCTAGAAGAGGATACACCTTTTTGAGAGGATGCCAGTCTAGAAGAGGAACCCGGAGAAGAAAAAAAAGAGGAAAAGGAAAAAAATACGGGGCCCACCCGTGGCCGCGGGTCGCCTTTTTTGCTTCTTCCCGCCGGGGCGCTGCTGCTGCTGCTGCAGCGCAAGCTGCCTGAGCTCCTGCGGCTGCACGCCAGGCGGGAGCGGCTGTGGCGGGAGCGGCTGCTGCAGCGCACGCAAGGGGAACTTCTCCGACATCGGAACCTGGTGGGGAGTGGGTGGGTGGTTCTCTTTTGGGTCAAGGGAATGCTCCCAATTTTTTTGGGGGGGAGGAGATCCCTATGTTGACACATGTCGTCTTGACACGGCTCCGGGCACATATATGTTCCTTATTTCGGGGCAAACCCAACTGGGTGTGTAAAGGAGGCTCTATTATGGAAACTATCCATTTTGACGAGTGTCCGTTTCCTATTTCAGAGACCAAGAAAGCAGCGCCAAAACCGATTGACGTGTGGTCCTGCCCACATGTTGACAAAGCTTGTGTAGGCCTTACTACAAGATTGCTGTGCACCTACAAAAACCCAAAATGTCGAGGAGGAATCGGTTTTGGTCGCTCAGTGGGATCCAACCAAGGTGAGAAGTGTACCCTCAAAAACCATGACCAAATAGACCAACTTCCCCGCTCCATAACCCCCATGCAATAGTCTAACGCTAACTTCCCCATGGCTGAGGATCCTTTCCAGAATCGGGCCCCAACGCCTGGTTTTGAAAGGCGCAGCCATAAATCCCTCAAGAAGAGGCTTACTGGCCACAAGGTGATGTTAACATACGCCCCCGCCGATTCGGCCCAAGAGCCTCTGGCGCCTTCTCCAGCACCTCGGTCTCCCGCCGGAGTTTCGTCCCGCGGCGGCGGTCCTCGGCCCCGAGATGCGCGCATCGCGAATCTGCCGGCCCCCGCCAAAAGGGTTTGGTCTGATTTTGGTTGTCCTCCCTTTAAAACCCATCCCCAACAAAGGGGTAGCAACTCCAGAAAAAAGACAGCAACAGTAAGCAACTTGCTGGTGCGAGAGATGCAGGGAATGAGAATTGGAATGGCCCGGATTTAAACCATGCAACTGGTGGTTTCCTCCACAGCAATTTTCAGGTTCATCCCCTTCCCTGCCTATCGCACCAGCAAGTAAATGTCTAGGTAAACCAGGAGTTGCTTCAGATCACATGGAAAGAGGTGAGATAGGATGGTAGACGAGAGAAGGGATGAGAGATGAGCTAGGATGGCTTGCTCGCTCAAGCCCGCAGTTTTCCACATCAGGGAAGGGATCACTCTCTCCATTCCTCGCTCGATTGGAAGGGCGAGTAGGTCCATTTATGTCTTCCATTCACCAGTCCTACCTAGGGATTCAATGGTGAAAGGGAGGAAGAAAGGGATGGGACGTCATGTCCTCTGGACAGCTACTGATGTAGAATGGATACAGAGTCTTTATAATTCTAAGCACGTGACTTGTCAGCTGTTTTGGACCTCCCCTCTGCTCGTTCTTCGTATTTTTTCCAGGTAACAAGTACTTGAAATCGTACTTCCTGGACACAGACACTTTCCGAAAAGGACAAGTTCAAAGGCAACCAACATGAACAAACCACTGGGAAGGATCCACCAGCTTTTATACACACCTCTTGTCTTGATTTAAAGTTTAAGCTGTATCCCTTGACTTCGCGACCAAAAGCTCATGTCCATCCAATTCCAACAGCGGCACAAAGAAGATCTGAATCTGTGCAATGTGTGTGTGTGTGCGTGTAAGCAAGGGTCAAGACTCTCAAGCAGGCCAATACGTCATCGACCTCTGCCAAGAAAAAAAAGCATGATGCTCGCCGGCAATCCCGAGTCAACGACTTTTGTCCGGCTCAGGCCGTTCATGATTTCGAGCAGCACAAACTGAATATGGGCGCCTCCCTGCAAGATGGTGCGAAATGGGCTCTTTCCCAGTCCCTGTGCCAGCTGAAACCTGGGCCCTCTTGCATGCTGCTCTTGGCGCTCACGTTCGGACCTCGAGGCACCTGACAAATCGACATGTCTCGAAAACAAAATGGGGGGCATCCTTTTGGCTTCTTGTATCCAATCCAGGGTGGGTTCCCGAAAAAACACACTGACACGTTGAAGAGGTGCTACAGCAGTTGTTTATCATCGTTCGTTGCTGCTCGCAGAGCTTGAACAACATCTTCTGGCCCTTTCTTGGACATGCCTGTCATGGTGTGTGATTCCATGGGGAGTCTGCTTTTCCAAGCACGCAACCTGCATTCTGGTTCACTACCTACCTCTTGGTTTTGGAGTCGAAGAACCTTTCTGAAGAACAACTGGTTGGGAGGGAGTTGCAAAAACAGGTTTGGGAGGGGTCACAAACTAGGTTGGGTTGGGGGGGGGTTTTCGATCTCCCCCCCAATCTATTCTTTCAACCCCCAAACCATTTTTGTCGACCCAACCCTTTTTTTCCGACGCCCCAACCAGTTTGGTCGCCCCCAACGCAACACAAGGTTTTTGCGATCAGGTTGGGTTGAAGAAAACGGATTGGAGTTTGGGGTTCGATTAGAGGGTCGAAGAAATCTGCTTTCGACCCCCAAACCGACGCCCCAAACATGTCGTTGGTCAACCCCCTGCCAGAATTCTCAAAACTCCGGTGGATGACGTATCCGTGCGCGGGCCCCAGCCCGCCTGAGGTTGACTTGCTCTCGCTGGCGTTTCCTCGAAGGCAAGGAGCCAACCCAAGTCGGGGACATTGGATCAAGAGGAACCGAAAGGAGAGCCATTTTGGTGGCAAACCCTTTCCGGAGGCCCTGAAAGGGAAACCAAGAGAAAGCCCACCTGAAGGAGTCCCTGTTGAGACCCATGGGAAGAACATCGCGCCAAGAAACAAGTGCAAAGTCGGCTTCAATTGTCGAACACCTCAAGGCTAAGAGTGGAGCACCACCAAAACGGCAACCCACACTGAGATTTGAAGCGCTCGCTGAGGTCAACTCTTTTTTTGTCCCATTCAATTCTTGGGATCGAGAGTGAGTCAGTGCCGCAAGTCGGCCATCAACCAAAACCCGCCTATCGGGCTAAGCTGGATCCGCTCAAAACAAATGACCCCACACATCGTTCAACCCCCCCCCACACACCATAATCGTTCAACCCTCCACCACGCCAGAATCGTTCAACCCGCAGGCATTCGCAGTTCAACAAGTTCTGGAGCTTGATAAAAATCATGGGCCAAGAGAAAGCCTGCGTTCAATTGAAGATCACATCTGGCTGTCGACCTGCAACCTCCTTCAACCCGCTCTCCCAAGCCACAGCACCTGGTGAACCCGTCGCTCGCGGACCTTGTGTCGCGCCTGAGCTGCGATTTCAATAAAGAGCCTTTCGAACAACTGTCGGTTGCCGCGAAAAGATCTGCTTTCGATGTGTGCTGTGGATGCTGCCACTTTGCAAGACGCGGAGCAATCAAACAATTTTACGGCGATCCTAATATGAGAGTTTCTTGAGAAAGTCCATCAGAGTGGTGGGATTTCAATTTGCTTGGTTCACTCTGGCGGCTATGAATCTTCATGGGGAACCACTCACAAATGGATGGTGGACATAATTTCCGTGCTCCGGGTCCCAGTAAACTCATGCCATGTAGAACTCATGGCGTTTTCAAGGAAGCCTTGGCTCTGCCCCTTGGCACCCAGCTCCGATTTCCAGGCTGCCCGGTGTCGAGATCTGGCGCACAACCCGCTCGGGTGTGGGTCTGTCTCAGAGTCTCAAGACCGGCGATGAAGCCGTTGGCTTCCCTCCGCAAAAGACTCCGGTATCGCAAACGACTGTCTAGGAATCCGAAGCTGAGAGCTTGCTGTGAGTCGCATGAAAGATATCCTTTTATCCTTTTGGTTCACGGGCTCAGAAGTTGCACTCATTGGCCCCGCTTCAGTTTGAGGTGCTGAAAAGGCAACTTCCTTCTTCAAAAAAGCTGCCAGTTTCTAAACAGCGGGGGTCAGCAATTTGCAATTGCAAACCGCGGCAACTTCACGGACAACCCTTGCCAAAGTTTTGGAGTGACCCAATGGGCTGGGTGCACGGAAACTTCTGGCTTGCTGGCCCCGGATCGGTGCCTGAGCCCTTTTGGACAACATAGGGGATTTCGGTCCTTTGGGGGCGAAACTCCAGCCAGTTTGGTGTCCTTCGGATTGTTGAAGCCATCACCGGGATGCCCTTTTCGGGGGGTTCAAAGGGTTGGGTTGCCGAACATGTTACAGGAAAACAGCTTTTTGTGGGGTGTTTTGGGGGCCACTTCCTGTAGGTTTTCCTGCAAACCCTTGTTCCAACTCTCGCCTGGAGGTTCTAACAGGGACCTGTCCAGCTCCAAGGGCTTCAAGTTGCCTGGCGGCTCTCTCCAATGCGGATGCTTTCCCGGTAGCTTCTCTTGACAAACCAAAGGATACTTTCAGATGAAGGGGACCCCCCCCAACGAAGTACACACCCTTCTTTGCCCTTTCTTGTTTCTCAAACTGGACCTTGGGGTGGAAAAAAGGAGGTGGTCCAAAACAAGAGCCCCCAAAGCGGTTGACCTCCCTTGACTGCTTGCTCACTTTCAATGGAAAATATGTGAGTCAAAATTGGGAGGAACCCCCAAAATGGTTGGTGTCCTTTTGGTTCCGCCTTTTGGTTTCGCTTTGAACCAAGCCGCAAAAAGGGTGCTCCGAAAACACGCAAACCTCTCTGTGATGCCGATATGGACCATCCCCACGACTTGGTCATGTTCAATGGGCGAAAACTTCCCACAACCACGGAATCGAGCGCGAGCAGTCAAAACTACTCCGCTGCATGTTTTTTCTCTGAACCTCTGCTTGGGAGTCTCCAAATCCCCCTTGTCTTTGACCCAACCTCACATGAATACCCCCACAATATGACCACCAAAAACTGATGGGGCCCTTCGTTCGCCCCCAAGCGCAAGGGGCCCATAAACGTGACAACATGACTTGTTTTCACAATAGCACATGGGCAAATTGGCAGGCATTTGAGGTTGCCGGAGGGTTTCTCCCCCCGGCTTTCGTGGTGCATGTTTGTTGCGCATGTCCCCTGGTTTTTGTGGATGGAATTTGGTTGTCTTCAATATTCTGAACCCTGAATTGATCATCGATATGCTGAACGAACCCGTGCCAGCACTCGGGGTTCGGTACTTTGGAACCGACCTGGGTGTACGTGACTAGAGGGGCACCTCTGGGTGTTGGGACACCTTGCGTGCAGCCCGCGCAGCCAGTATTTCGACATGCAAACCTTGACATGGAGTGAAACAGCGGCCTCAGTGCTGCACCAGAATGAAGAGTCCCTGTCTTTAACATTCCAAACGTCTGAAGCCATCCCTATGAACAGCCTGGGGAATGCATCATCACATTCATGGTCAAAAGGGACAAATCTTCGGGGAGCATTCTGAGCCACCAAAACAATGCATAGCTGCTTGCCGAGAGCATTTCTGTCCGATTGCGTATGCTCAAATGGCTTTCAAAAGCTGAGTTCGGCACGTATGGTGTGGCTGATAAAATTATACTCGTTGGTGGTGCGTAGCTCCAACCACTATATACCCCCATGTTTCGATGGCGGTATGCGATGGCTGAACGCTTCCTTTACGGAAACTCTGCCAGCTGGAAATACATATGGTCAACATACAAGATTCAATGCTTGGGGGTTCTCTTGAAATTTCTGGAACCTACATCGAACTGAATCATGGGCTTCCAGACTGGAAGACCACTGCACCTCATAGCAACGCACCTGGACAGCCCCGCAAACTTGAGCCACATGTCATGTCTGCTCACAGCCAAATTACAGTGCCACCCGTGCCTGGCTCGCCGGCCGAGGCAGCCTTCTCAGCTGCGCCCAACCGCCACTCCCTTTGCGCTTCCCTTTGCAGCTGACGCTTGCGGAGCTTCATCTCTGCAAAGTTGCAGAAATGGCATCTGTTGCAGTCGTCGCCCTTTGAGCAACCGCCTGGTCGGCGCGTGTGGTAGAAACACGGAAGGCACCTTCCAGCACAGTGCAGTTCGTACATGAAGAAACGCGGCAGGGGAACTGATTTTTCTGGCGGAGAGCACACTTCCCCTCCAGTCATGGCGCACGCTCTCTCGCCGGTGGCGGCTGAGAAAATGTGATTACGAGACCTGAGCCTGACAGCTCCCGAACGAGGCTCGACACAAGCAGTTGCCGTCGTGTTGCGCAACACCCTTATCCGATCATTTGCCGAATGTAATGGTCCACTAGTGCACATGACATCGATACTAACAATGTCTCTATCAGGAACCATTCAAAAGCGTTGCTCACTTTGAGCGAGCTCTCTTCTACCAGGAACGAATGGCTAACAAGGTAGAAACATACGCTGAACCGCTGGTTCATACAAACTGTGGTATTCCCCGCCAAACACAAAGAAAAACGCACACACACACACACACACCAGAAATTCACTCGTATTTACAGTGCTTTCAGCCTTCTTGCCTGCCTTTGGGTAATAAGCAAACAAATGGCCTTCCAAAAGATCTGGCAACTTCCCTCTGCGTCCAGAGGTACTCCTAAAAAAAATGAAAAAAACATGTCCAAGTCCAAAACTCAAAACAACAAAAAACGATCCAAAATCGGCCAAAAACAAAAAACCTGGGAGATAGGGTTTTCAGCTTGTTCCTTTTGGACCCAAAGGGAAGCTGTCAAACATCTATTGGAAAGTTTGTTGTGGAAATACATGGCTGGACTCAGGATAAAGTTGCTCCGACTTGGCACAGTCAAGCTCAGACTCTAGAGAACCGCCAGAACGGGTGCTGATACACCACAGCTTTCGGTGGAATGAAAGCAGGGCCATTTGACAATCGTTCGAACGTTCGGTGGGCTGGCTCTCCCACTGCTCGTCTTCTCAGCAGCTGCCTTCAGTGTCCCGACAAAGAGGTCGAAAACGGACGTCCTCGCGGCAAGAAATCGCGGCGGACTTGGTAGACTAGATAGGGGCTTGTGGTTTGTTGCGGGTACACTTTTCCGGCTGACCGGAAAACTGCTATATTGGGTGATCCCCCTTTCTGACAGCCATATGGCCTCAAAAGGAAAGGTCAGAGGTGTCACAGCAAAAGAAAATGGCTCTTAGGCCCCTGGGCGGCAAGCAGCCCGGTCCGGACATTGCCTGCCGAAGTCTTTCTTCCGGAAGTAGGCAAGGTTGGCTTGAAGACCCTGCACAGTCGCCTGGCGGTGACGTGTTCAAACCGTCAAATAGTTGAATCACATATTTTGCAAGGTCTCTTTGGAATATGGGCGACTCCCAAAAAAGGGTGACTCTTTTCGGTTTCCCTGACAAACCTCAAACGGGGCCCTCAAAGCCGCGGCCATGGTCCTCGCCCTACATCAAGACCCCGACGTGACGAAGTTGCTCTCCGTGAGTTGCAAACCTATACCAATCTACAAACTACAAACACTACTCAGCCCCCAAATCAATCCCTATCATTTAGCCTCCGAAATAGCCAACATGGAAGCTGAAACAAAACCCCTAGAAAGACACCTCTGACAGACCCTCTTTCAAGTCCCATCCTTCTTTTCAGGGGGCATTCTCATTCGAGACTTGATGCCTTGACCACTTTCAGCACCTTCTGGCCGCGCCCAGAGCGAAAGAGGTCCTGGCGATGGTGCGCAGGCTCCAGCGAAAAGGAATCTGACAGACGAATCCAAATCGGTTGACATTTGGAAGAGAAATACACCCAAGTTCCATCACGTTTGTCCACACCTCGCGGGTCACACAAGCACCAAACAAGGGAGCCCCATGCCAATTCTGCTCCCCTTTCGAACAGGCTCCGCTATCGCCAAAAGCTGATCGGCCTTGCTGGCCCACTGGTGCTGGAACTCAGCTGCATGCTCTGCATCCTTAGGCAACAGGAAAGGAAAAAGACACAGAGCAGCGGCGAAGGGGCCAATGCGACATCAAGTCAGCTCATAGTCGATTTGTTTCTGGCCCAGGCCATCCCTGCGATTTCTGCGACCGCGGCCGGTAGCCGGGCCCAGGCCAAAAGCCGGTTGCAGAACTCCGAGGATCCAACTGTGAAGTTGATGATCGCATAGCCGTAGTTGTGCCCGGCCTCGGGTCGCGGAAGGAACCCGCACCAACCTGGAAGGGTGGCCACCTGTACCATGATGGTTCAAAGTTCATTGATTGTTCAAGGGAAACGCCATACTTGCCCCCAATGAGTCTGTACACGATCAATGCTCGTTCCAATTTGACCTTGTGCTTCTGGCGCCAACCCGTTGGCAGACAGAAATGGCATGTGGCTCAACCCCATGGAACACTCACAACAAGACACTCTGGGAAATGCATCTTTTCAGGACGTCCAATGCCCGTTTCCAGTTTGAATCTCAACGACGCGGGTATTTGACCAACAAAGCGACGCAGCGACGCAGCGACGCAAATTCCCAACAGCTTGCCAGATATCTGTATCTCGCTCCAAGACACTAAGGCCCATCGGTCTTTGGTAGAGCTGTTACCATGCCAAGTGAGTTAGCACAAACGTCAGCATCATCGGCATCATCAGCATCGCCAACATCACTGCCAGCATCACCAGCATCATCAGCACCAACAAACAGAACCACCACCAGCATCACTGCTGCCACTTTCACCATCATCATCACCAGCATCACTGCCGCTCAGAACCATCATCATCATCATCATCATCATCATCATCATCATCATCATCATCATCATCATCATCATCATCATCATCATCATCATCATCATCATCATCATCATCGACCACCACCAGCACCAGTGTTGTTGGGGATCGCTGGCGATATTTTTCCTTTTTTCTGAGCATAGCAATGTCCAGTGTGTTCAAGTGTGAAAACCGCAAAGCAAAGACAAACACACCACCTAATCGCCCGCC